CCCATTCCCATTCCCATTCCCATTCCCATTCCCATTCCCATTCCCATTCCCATTCCTGCTCTACTACTACGACGAATATCTGGGGCACTCCATGTGGTGAGTGATGATTCCAGCAGAGATTTTGGGATGGCTGAGGGGGGAGGGAGAGCTCAGGGTGGATAAACCCCGGCTGGCTCCGCTGGCCGGGGCTGGATTTGGATTAGGATCCAGATTAGGGTGATCCTGGAAAATCCCCCCTGCTCAGGGATATTTTGGGATTGGAACGCAGGAGCAGTTTGTCCTTCCAGGGCTGGGCAGAAGGTTCCTCTGGTTCCTCCTCCAGCAGCCCCAGGTGTGCCCCAGACACCCCAAATATCCCCAAATACCATTAACAAACACCCAAATATCCCAAACAAACACCCAAATATCCCAAATAAACACCCAAATATCCCATATATCCCAAACACCCAAATATCCCAAATAAACACCCAAATATCCCAAATACCCCAAACACCTCAATCAAACATCCCAAACACCCCAAATATCCCAAATATCCCCAAACACCCCAAACAAACACCCCAAACAAACACCCCAAATATCCCAAATATTCCAAAATCCCCAAACACCCCAAACAAATACCCAAAAAACCCCAAACATCCCAAATATCCCAACTAAAAATCCACTTGCAGTTCCACGCCCCATTGTGCCAAGAGGTCTCTCCCCCAAACTGGGATGGGCTTTTCCAGAGCAGGGATCCCACAGCGGGAATTCCACAGTGGGAATTCCACAGCAGGAATCCCACAGTAGGAATCCCACAGCGGGAATTCCACAGCAGGAATCCCACAGCGGGAATCCCAGAGCCGGGATCCCACAGTGGGAATCCCACAGTGGGAATTCCACAGTGGGAATTCCACAGCAGGAATCCCACAGCAGGAATCCCACAGCAGGAATCCCACAGCAGGAATCCCTGATTAGGGAATTCCAGAGCAGGAATTCCACAGCAGGAATTCCAGAGCAGGAATCCCTGATTAGGGAATCCCTGATTAGGGAATCCCTGATTAGGGAATCCCTGATTAGGGAATTCCAGAGCAGGAATCCCGGATTAGGGATCCCTGATTAGGGAATCCCTGATTAGGGAATCCCTGATTAGGGAATCCCGGATTAGGGAATCCC